TACACGTCTATAAATTTTGAAGTCATTCTGCTAAGCCAAAAAAACATTAAAAATCGTCAAAGATGGGGGTGTCAAAACGTGCTCGCCCACTCACTATTTTGTTTTTTTTCACTTTTAACTTTTTGTTTTCACTTTATTTCGGGGCCTAAAAAATTTTAATATTTTTTAAAACATTTTTAATGAGTTATTGATTATGTAAACTACATATCTGTAAATTTTCAGGGCATTTTTCAATGCCAAAGGATAATTAAAAATCGGCAAAGATGGCGGTGTCGAAAAGGTGCTGGCACACTCACTCATTTTAATTGTCTTTTTATTTTTTCTTATTTTTATCGTAGTGTTTATTTTCTGTATTTGATTTTTAATTCAAATTTGGTAACGAATTTGGATGTAGTTCCCAGGCAAATGTTGTTTGGTTTATTTTTCTCCATAACGTTTGTTTTTTTTGGAATTTTTTTATTTTTATTTTTTGATTTTTATTTTATTTTTATTTTTATTTTTTTTGTCCGCGTTCGGCCCGAACGGCCGAACGCCTTCCGAAGGGGTCCCGTACGTTCGGGCATTTGGGTTCGGGCTTTCGGCCCATCCCGAACGCCGGTAACCCTGTATATATATGTATTTTGCATAGTTTTGCTATATATGATTTCTATGTATTTTTATATGATCTCTATGTATCTTTTTGTCAATGAGTTTGGGAACAGCCATTACTGTTCCATTAAATTAACTCCTGAAAAGAAATAAGTTTGTATTAAAATAACATTTTATTATATGAATTAAGAGAGAATAGAAAAGAATTCAATTAAATAATAAAGACATATATATATATATATATATATATATATATATATATATATATATATTAGGTTACCGCAGTGCCCCGGGTCCACTTGCCCGGCCGGACCAAAAAGAAATAAAGAAATTCAAAAATTTAACTACTTTTTAATTTAAAATTTTGTTTTAAATTTGGTTAAGAATTTTGGTGTGACCCTAAGGCAAACGTTGTTCAGTTTATTTTTTTGCATAACATAGTTTTCTTTCGGATTTTTTTTTTTCTGTGTGTGTTTTTGGCCCGGACCTTCCTTGATCCTTGCACGGCCGGGCCGTCCGGGAAAATAGGGTGACCCGGGCGGCCCGGTTGGTAGCGTAGTATATATATATTTTTTTTTTCTCTCAATTTCACCATCACTACCTACCTACCTACCACTCCCTTTTGATCCAGATGAATATGAATGGGAAGGGAAAAAATATATATACATAAAATATATATATCAGAATCTGACAATTCACAGTAATGGTGCATATCGGATATGCCACAGCAACCACCCCTCCTAGGATGTAATAAACAAAAAAGTGGCAGATGAACTACAGATGTTGACCCACGCCAGACTGTCTGGTCTTTGTAAACAATCTAAAGTAGAGAGGCCTCCTACGCCTGCTATGTGAGTGTTGGAACAAGTCGTAACAGCCTGTTAGGGCTACAGTTGAACAATGTTTTTTCGATGCCCAACGGTGAGACAAATTCGACGTTGGTGGGAGGCAGGATGGAGGGAGATTAGAACCAACGCATTTCATCAGTTAAACCACCAATACCTTTCCCCACTTTAAAATCAAATACACGCCGGTATTTTCGAAAACCAAGCAGGATTAGGCCACCGTTGATAAATTTCATCGGTAACCCGTTCCTTGTTTCTGCATCTCTGCGAAAAGTATCGAGAGCAACTTACGAGGTTGACGTTTTTTTTCCAATTTTCAAAGTTTGGGAGGAAGAGGGGAAGTAGATCTAACAATTTTCGACGGACACATGCACGACTTATCCGAAGCCAGGCTGTCTGTATTGAGGTCCAAACTCTATTGTGATTAAAAGTTACAACCATTTATCCATATTTACATGTGTATGACTCTTTTACACACTTGCGTTGGTTATCTAAAACAAGACTGTTTACATTGAGGTAATAACATCTCAAACACTATTGTGATTATAACTCGTAATTGTTTCTCGACAACTACATGTGTATGCCTCTCCTTAACATAGGTTGCGCTTACCTCCTGATTTATGGTGGGAAACAAAGTAAGATAATTTTTTAAGAGATAACAAGGGGACCTGCCGCGGCTCCGCCCGCGGCAGAGTAGGAGGCAGGAGGAAGAAGCGGGAGGCCGAGGCACGAAGAAGGGAGGGATGGATGTGAGGGATGTGTCCACAACCCCGATATTCACCCACCGAACCTCCCTCGTCCACGTCTCCATGTCACCTTCTCCCCCCCCCCCCCCCCCCCCC